TTGCAAGTGAGGGGAGAGGCTAATAAATAAACGCAATCGGTGTTGCGTTCCAACAATTCTTCCTCTATTTTTTCTCTGTAAATAAAATGCTGAAATACAGAGCACTGCTTGGGTTTACAATTTTACATGGCGGAAAATTGAAGAACAAAAACCAAAAGAGAGTGCATGTGAGCGAAAGAGACTGAGAGGTGAATGTGCTGTTTGGAATTTCATTATATTTGATCATCTGTTGGAAAATCTTTAACCACAAGGATTAAACAAAGAAATTCTTATATGCCATTTATACAAAATAATTCCAGCTTTGCTAGTGACTTTCAACAATGATACTTAGTTCATCTTAGTAGTATTTATCAACTCTGCATTTCCAACCCCATTTTTTTCTCACAAGCATTTTATTGAACATCTATGTTTCACCTGAGATGACCTGTATCTAACATTACACCTTTAATCGTTGATGGTCCTGATAGTCCCTCCTGATAGTCCTTGGTCGGGTCTTCTCTCAATGGACCCTTATTCAAGTCAACACCTCCATATAATTCAAAGTTATATTAGAATTTCCTATGCATCCCCGACTGGAAAGTTACGCTGGAAATGATAAGAGAGAAGCGAAAAAGTAAATTTGAGATCGAAAAGGAATTTGGGGTTTAGAATGAAATTAAGGACTATTTTGCAAGTTTTAAAAGTTGGGGGATCTAAATGAAAGTGCCTGAAAAGTTTAGTGACCATATTGCAAACGTACTAACGACAGTGTAACGGCGTCAAACGGACTAAATGTTGGGGGATGTATTGCAAGTTTTAAAAGTTAGGGGACCTAAATGAAAGATTTAAAAAAGTTCAATGACCATTACTATACTTTATCCTAAATAAAAATACTTCATAACAAAAATAAATGAAAGTTTATAAACATTAAAGTGAAATATAATATAGTTATTCTCGATTAATACTAATAATATGATATAGTGGTGTTTATCACTAAAATACACAAAGTATGAACCTAAGTAATCATTTAAGATGCTTCCATGAAAAAAAATAAGATGATGACTCAACCATGCACATGAGATGCGAGTGCTTTATGCCAACTGCGACTTTAGAAACACGAAAGGGCATATGTTCTCAAGAGCCTTCATCCACTTGTTGTAGTCTCTCTCTCCTATTCTGCGCGCTTTCTTCCTCCTCATGACAGTATGGTGAAAAATACTCGGGTTCAACTGCTTTATTGTACATGTTAAGGCACAAAGCAATCCTGGACCGGAAGGCAGTTTGTAGGCTCATTTGTAGAATAAATGTCACCTGTCACTCTCGACACCATTCAACCATTTGCATGATCCAATGTAGTAACGAATAAGAGATACTGATTTTGCGTAATCCAGTCCTGATGACAATATTTCACAAGCGGACTACAAGGTTTTGGGTCTTGTCAGTACTGGTGCTAGAAAACTTCTCTGCAACACTTTAAAACAGCTCCAAGTCACCAATTCGTACAGCCTGAAAAGTTGAGCCAAGAAATTAATCCTTCTTTTTGAAATTAAAACCAAGATAAGCAATTTACTTTCTCTTTGAAAAGTTGCGTTGGAAGCTGTAACGGAGTTCAGGGTCAATCTCGAGGGTGTCGTCGTCGTCAATTTGGGAAGAGGCGGACTTGCGGCGAAGGACGTGCATTTTGGCGGTGGAGCCCGGCTGGCTGGTAACCTTGAGCTTGGCATCGGTGAACTTGTCTTGGTCGACTTCGACCTTCCACGGTGCTTTGCTATGACACATCAATGGTTGGTGCTCAATTTCACTGCTCTATTTCTTTGCTTATTCTTGGAGAGGAGTGAGTCGAGAGATTAGGGATTTAGTGTACCGTCCAAAAATAAAGAAGAGAGAAAATAGAAAATAAAGAAGAGAGATTAAAATAAAATGATAAAAGAAAAGAGAAGAAATGAAGAATCTGTCTCATGAAGTTGCTTTATTGTTGAGGATGGAGAAAGAAGGGATTAAAAAGATTCTAGGTTAACAGTGGAGACGGAAGAAAGACTAAACAATTTGTGGCGTTTGTTATTAAAAACGTCATTAAAGTATAACACTTTATGTAGCGGCATTTTTTAAAAAATGTCACTATAACCATTGATAGCAGTTTTTTACATAAACGGCACTAAAGTGTCGTTTATAACGGTGTTTTTCTAAAAGCGTCACTATATATCGGTTTAGCGCTATTCCCTCTAAAAGCGCGGCTAAAACCGCCTTGTTTTGCTGTAGTAGTGGGTGACCTTGAAAATGATTTACTTGTTAAAATATAGAATTAAAAAATAAAAGTTTTTTATTAAATAATTGTCACATCATGGGCTAAATTCAATACCTATTACGAGCTCGGTCAATGGGCCTGGAATTGCTCTCTTTGCGGCACACTCAACGGCCTATCTTCTCAAGCCAACTAATTCATGGGAGAGAACCCCTGGGACTGGTCAAGAGTTCGATAGTGCGTTAATGGGTGGTCGAGGTTTTGGTTCAGTAATGGAAGCTCTCTGCAATTACCTTGGGTCAGAATATGGAAATACATTGCATTAGGTATGCATGATAAGCATAGAGATTCTTCTGATTTCCAATGTCTTTATTTATTGGTTTTTTGGCATCATGAATATCTATGTAATGTGCTACATTATGTTGTATTCTCTGTACGTAACTGCAGCTAGAGTGTTTGCCTTTCTGTTGTCTTCTGATTTCCGGAGAGTGTTTGTCTTCTCTGTGCTACATTTCTCTGTACTAGAAAAGCTGCACTCCAAAGGGTATGAAGGCTGGTTTCCATGAAAGCTCTATAAATCTATAATATTGGTGTCATCTAGTTTTCAACACTTTTTTGTCTTTGTATCTACTATCTTTTGATCTGAATGCTGATCTCGTGTAATACAATTATGTGCATGGGGATGTTAAGCCTAGCCATTATCACTCACAATTTCTGAATGTTGTTCTTATGTAATATCTACTATCTTTTTTGTGTAGTTTTTCGATTTCTTTGAAAGGACATATGACCATAACCGGGACCAGTATGTAGAGCCGACTGAGCAACAACCCTAGCCATCATCACTCACAATTTACACACAAAAAACTTCAGTAAAGCTGTAAAACATACGAGGTGACAGCTTATTCAAATGAACACTCAAGCAACTAATATAGAGAGAAAATTAAGGTAAAGCTATAAAATATTGATGATATTATTAATTCAAAATCATATTCAACGTTAAGTTTGGTTTTATTTTTGTCATTTATCGTTAAAAAATTAATTGAATTGCTGACATGTTATTTTTTTTATTTTTTCAATGATTATTACATATCAGCACCGCTGTTAACTTTGTAACAACATGTGACCAAAATGAAATCAAAATTAAACGTTAGGTATGATTTTGAAAAAAAAATAGTTAGATGGCTAAAACAAAACAAAAATGATAGTTAAATACTAAACATGTAGTTTATTCTATTAAAAAATATAAATTAAATAATTTGAATTTTATCTAATCATATAAAAAAAATTGATCTAAAAATAAATAGGTAAATAAATTTAACCTCCTAATAATTGATAAAATAATAACATAGATGAGTCCAAGAGTATTTTTATTAGGGTAAACTACACAGTTGGTCACTAATGTTTAAATAAGTTTTCATTTTTCTCACTGAAGTTTCAAAAGTTACAAACTGGTCACTAGCGTGGCATTTTTTGGTCATCTTCTTCCCATAGTTTCGGCAACCAAAAAACCTCCTCCCACAGTTTTCATTCGTCCAAGCAGTGGTCACCTTAGTTGGGCATCCACAGTTGCAAAGTGGAACATCAATGGAATCTTCCATCTTCACAAGATTTCTTTTCTCTTAGAATTTTCATATATATATTTTTTTAAAAGAATAGAGGTATGAATGGAAAGCCCTAATAGTTTAGGGATTGAGTTTTTTTAAAGGAGAAGATGTGGTCGTTGAAGGCTTTTGGGTCTCCAACGTGGCAGTCAACCCAGTCCATGTAAGCAGTTAATGAGTCAGCTGTGTTTTTTGTCACGTGTGTTAACGGTTGTTAACGTCGAGTGATTAGTTTGTAACCAATCGATAACATTAGTGACTGATTTGTAACTTTTGAAACTTCAGTGGAAAAAACAAAAATTTATAGAAACATTAGTGATCAGTGTAATTTACTCTTTTTATTATTAAATAAAGATTCACATACAATACGAAAAAGGATTCTGTTACTATTTTTCAAAAAGGTAATCAACTTTATCCATATAAATCTTTTATATACTTGTTTTAAAATTTAAAAAATAAGTAGTATTTTAACTGTACTTATCTTCTTCTAAATAAATATAAATTTTATTTATCCAAAAGTAGGCAATGTGCTACAGATAAAACAATTCAATTATCCATTATACATCTCATCAACCTAAACTGAACAAACATTCTATACCAAACCACAATTTATACCCGATTCCACTCTATGCACCACTTTATTAACAGAGTAGAGCATGGATGTTTCATAGATAAATTGTTTAGAGATATCTTCCAGAGATATAATTTTTGAAATAATATATCGTTCACAATGACTTTAGCTTATATTATTCGGACGATTATAATCTTTCGATTAAATCTTCGATAGTCTTACATGATTCATGATCTATAGATAGTTGTCGTAATCACAAGTCTAACATCAATTATCTTATGATCGAGATATTTATATTACGTGAAAGGTGAAAAGAAAGTCTCCTTCTTAATTTAGATTGTCTTTTCTCTTATGCTACTTTTTTTCCTCCCTCTCCTCGCAAAAATCAATCAATTAACAATTGTTTCTATATCGATTACGATATCCGTTAAAATTGAAAGGAATAAACTATAAACGATAAATGCAATTCAGTTATTCTTCTGTATCTTTTAAGGATAATGATTCTAATAAAACTTTTCGGTTTTATGACCAAATGTAAACCATCAGTGGCTACATATATCAAACGAGTTCAGAAGTTTTACCATGTAATAATAGACAAAAATAAAATTCTTCTGATAAAAATTACCGGCGATTTATAGCTCAGCGGCACCGGCACATGAGAGAGAGATTGGGTTACTTGCTTAAGCGCTGCTCTAACCTGAAACATGTTGAGACGGCTCATGGGTTCATGGTGCGTACAGCCCTCGATCATGGCAATCTTCTTCTCAGCCAATTCATCGAAACGTGTTCTTCTCTGGGCCTCTCCGCCTACGCCCACTCCGTATTCGCCGTCACTCCCCAACACCACCGCCACACATACGTTTTCAACACCATGATCAAGGCGCTGACACTCTGTAACTCTGCCTTTGAGGCTCTCCTTGTTTACAAAACCATGGGAAAGGCGGAGTTGCAACCCGATTGTTACTCCTTTCCTTTTGCGCTGAAGGCGGTTGTCGATCTTCGGGCACTTAGTCTGGGTACCCAGATTCACTCTCAAACTACACGTACCGGGCTTGACTCCAATATTCACGTAGTTTCAGCTCTCATTCAAATGTACTCTTCGTGCGCATGCATTTTGGATGCACGGAAGGTGTTCGATGATATGCAGCTTAACTCCGTCTCTCCTGATGATGTTGTCGTTTGGTGTGCCATGATTACTGGGTATGTTAAGGTTGGCGATCCGGAAAATGCAATGGATTTGCTGGACCGTATGCCTCAAACTCAAACCATTGGCGCCGGACTTGTTTCTTGGACGTCAGTGATTTCAGGGTATACTCAAACGGACCGTCCCAACAAGGCCATAGCCGTGTTTCGCAGAATGCGGTTGAAGAATGTAGAGGCTGATGAAATAGCAATGTTGGCTGTGCTTTCTGCTTGTGCGCAGTTAGGTGCCATGCATATTCAATTGGGGGAATGCATTCATGGCTACATTCAGAAACGCGGATTCGATCAAATGGTTCCCCTTAAAAATGCACTGATTGAGATGTATTCGAAATCAGGCAATATAAGTAATGCATTGCAGGTGTTCGACAATATGACTCAGAGAACTCTTATATCTTGGACAACGATCATATCAGCATTGGCGTTCCATGGACTCGGAACACAAGCTCTTGACATGTTCTCTCGGATGGAAATAGCTCAAATTAAACCCAACGACATCACTTTCATTGCGGTCCTCTCCGCTTGCACTCATGTAGGATTGCTGGACTTAGGTCGCTACTATTTTGATGCTATGCCATACAAGTATGGAATTCAACCCCAGATTCAGCACTACGGTTGCATGATCAACTTACTCGGTCGAGCTGGTTACCTAGCAGAAGCGGTCGAACTAGTTAGCCGGATGCCATTTTGGCCGAATGCAGCTATATGGGGGTCTATTCTTAGTGCTTCTAATATTCATGGTGATGCTGAGGTGGGAGAGTTAGCTTTGCTAAATTTGATAGAGTTGGAGCCTTGGAATAGTGGGAACTATGCACTTTTATCTAATATATATGCTTCTTCTGGAAGGTGGGATAAGTCGGTAATGGCGAGGAAGATGATGAGGGACAAAGGTGTTCGGAAGATGTCAGGTTGGAGTTTCGTTCTGGTGAGTAACAGAGCTCATGAATTCGTTGCCGGAGATACATCACACCCTCAATTTGAAATTATACAAGGAACATTGTTCAACATGAACGAGCATATAAAAATTGCTCATTGTATTCCGGTGATCGAATTCAGTGGAATTCAATGAGCTTCTTGATTTTGATGGATGCATCTAGCCGAAATAGGATGATAAAAACTCAATTCGATTAAAAAAATCATTTTTCTAGTTATTTGAATCTCAGTAATTGGAATCAACTTGAATTTTTGTTTGAGTTGAGTAATTCGTGTCAAAAGATATAGTTTATTGCAATTAACTTACCAAATTCACGAGACAAGAGAACTGCTGCTCTTTTCCAAATTCCCGGCTTTCTCTATCACCTCCATAACTTGAAGGAACAGACTACAAAGAGAGAATGAAAAGCATAATCTTAGATTATTTTAGGATTTTGCTTAGATTTACTGCTCAGTGTCGTAAATCCGATGCAAGATTGGGGAAAAACGAAAGAAAAGTAGGAAATCTGTCAAAAAACTGCTTGACCACCCCAGTCAGGCAAGGTTGGCTGGGAACGATTCTCTGCGGTCAAAGGCGGCCATAATGACGAGACACCAGACCAGTAATAACGCTCCGATCACACAGTCTCGGTTCATCAGCCAGACTTAAAATCCTGACTCCTTAGAACTCAAAGATATAGAGGTACGAGCCTATAGAACAGATTCTGTTCAAGTAAGGTCACAGCCCTGCAGCGTCTGCTTCAGAATTAAATACCAGCTAGTTTTGTCTTTCCTTTCTAATGTGGGATTTTGTTGAGATCCTGGCTACAAGTGACATTTAATATTATATCATGATTTATCAAGTAATTTTTTTTAGATTTATAAATTTTATGAAGATTTATAAATTTCATGTGAGATAATCATAATCATATTGAATCATGTGATAATAATAACTAAAAAAATATAACAATAAAATTCATTCAAATATTTTAATTAATTCAATTTCTCAATTAGCTTATTTAATTAATTTAATTTATCTATTTAAAATTTCAATTGAATGAAAAAGATCAAGAGTTTAATTTTTTCCCTCTAAAATTTGAGGACTCCATATACTCGTTGACCTTTAAAAATGGTGATAAACTATGTATTTAGTCATTCAAAAATCATTTTGATTCCATTTTAATCATTCAACTATATTTTTCAAATCATGTCTAACGTCACGTTGTTGATTTTGTTTTGATCACCGACTTTAAAAAGTAAACAAAACTATCAACGTGATATTTTTTAATTTTCTTCAATGATAACGTAGTATTATCTTACAAAAACACGTTAGCATCATTGTTAATTTTTTAACGTAGAAAATAAACAACCCTCGTACAAATTTTAATTACCTACACACACCAAATATTTCAAAGAAGCAAAATCATTCAAAACTAACATATGAGCTGATTGTTGCAAAATAGACTGCAGATCATATTATTATTTCCTACGACTTACAACATCATTCACAAAACTGATAATAAAATGCGGATGGAATCCTTAACATGGATGAATAAACAAACATACGAAACTGAGTTCTGAATCATATTGCAGCAAAACTACTTATCTCTCGAAACCGAGCTCGTGGTGTTTGTTTAAGGCCATAGACAACGGTCTTGTGCAGTTTCAAAGAACGAACTCCTAGATACCATCAAGGACAAAAGCCTTATTACAACATAAAGACGCTCGGTTGCACCAAACGGACGATCAATTACCTTGTAAACTGTCACTGTAATTTTAAAATTTTATTTTTCAAAAAATATCAGCTGCTTCTATTTGCATAAAAAAGAATATACCTTCTTTCATATTTTGTTAATGCTTTCAATGTTAGAATCAAATCATAATAAATATGAAAACAACCAGGATCTAGTCATGCTAAATCATCAAGAATAAAATAAACTAGATTTATGGAAGCGTACCTGAATCCATTGTTGAAGATTATCTAGAAGGTTGAGATCTTGAAGATTGTCTTGGTTGTCATCTTCCAAGAATATAGAATTCTCTTCAGTATAAACTCTCTAAAGGGATAAAAGAAAATACGAGATAATCTATTTCTTGGGGACCATAACCCCTTTATATAGCTGATTTAAGAATCAGTTATTGTCTGTACTTATAACTCTGCCCCTCATCGAATTATAAATACAACTTTAATAGTGTCTACACTTTTATTTCCATGACACTTCTAATACCTTGTGACTTTATAACATAATTGGCCACTTAATTTATGTCATATTTATGATAACATATAAATTAAAATTTGTGCTCATAATTATGGATTTTAATCCAACAATCTCCCACTTTGGCAACATATATTTCCTGATAAATGTATAACCTTATGAGCTCAAAATTTGTTATCATGCAATAAATATTCTATAACAATCTCGTCCATCAACTATATTCATATAGGATCAAAGCGACCTTTGTTATATCAATCATGACTAGATCCATCAAGGGTCACGTATACAAACACTGTCAAATGACATAGATCAATCATGGAGTGTAGCATGAAAATTACATGCAATGTGAATCGTACATTTCTATTTTCAACTGGTCCTCTTTAGTGAGATCAAATTTTACTAAAACCAGAGTGTGGATAAACTAAAACAACTTTTATTTCTACAGAAAATAACCTTCAAATAAATATCCTCAAACTGAAGTAATTGAAATTGTGTTTACAACCAACGAGCATTTAAATTACAAATTCCCACTAAAACTGAATATCCTTAAATGATATTACACACACGTGAGTAGTGTGCTCATGAAAGACCTAGGGTGACAGTTCCTTAATAAGCGCACAATAATGATTTGTACCAATATGCTCTATAAACACATAACCAACTCTGTATTTTCTTTAATAATCAAAACATAATGTTTATGTGATTAGACTTTAAGGTGTTTCTGTTGTATATGGAATAAATGATTGCAATTGTGTTGTCACAAAATAACTTAAGTGGTCTTTTTTATCAATCCATAATTAGCAGTTCATGTGACAAAATTTTGCATCCATGTTTCAATAAATCGGAGTCCATAAACCTAATGATCCATACCCAAATTGCTTAAATATTTGCTTAATATCCCAAAATCATAAGCTACGACTGAATGCGTACAAACCTGAGTATACATTAAACTCTTCATTTATTTATAAAGTATAAGGAACCTTTTTGCATTTCCTTAGTTTCAAAAACCATTCTTAGAGACTGATCAAGAATAAACTTGTTTCCTTCAGCACTCAGGGGTATCTCTTAGTTTACTCCCACTGAACTTGTAGTATATACAATAGTCAACCAAAATTTTCTCTAAGCCAAACGAGATAATCACTTGATTAAATTTGTTATACAATTAACTGGAGTCATACTTACACAATTATCATGATTATCCTGGAAGAGTCTTTCAATGAAACCAAAAAGAAAGTCTTGTATAAACTTTAGATACAAGATGCACCTATACCTGTCAACATCACTTTTTGCATCCATCTTGGTTTTAAATATCCATTTGCAACCAATCATTTTTGCACCTTTAGGTAATGAGACAAGTTCTCAAACTTTATTATCTTGTATAAACTTTATACTCTTCTTACAGAACATTAATCCACTTTTGAGAGTGAAAACTTTTATGTCATGACGAAATTTGATTAGATCATTTTCCATCATTCTGCTATCATCCTTATTTATTTTAGAAACACAATAATCTATTATAATATTTCTCTCATCTAGTGGATCTTCAAAATGACACTCGTTCTTTAAGGTTATTGAGTTTGTTCTTCCGTAACAGTTTCTACTCTTGAATGGAGAGTTGTTTAATATTATCTTATTAAAGTTCTAGATTCACTTTATTATTAACAACTTGTATGAACACATGGTGTAACACCCACGAGCCGATGCGGGTGGCTCGATCTGATCCGGGGTGTCACATTAGGGCCACCAGAGTGACCCACCGTAAAAATCTCAAAAAAAATTAATTTATTTGTTAAAACATGTAAAATCATAAAAAAATTATAAACACAAAAGTAAAAATTAACAATATTCAGAAATAAAATAGATTCCAGACTCGGATATAAAAACAAAATACAAGTTACATGGCCCCTAATCACATGAACCGTACTCTGCAAGCAACGTCGGTGGAACTCCTTTACTGAAGTCGATAGTTGCATTGGTTCAATCATTTCAACCTGAAAATGTGAGTAACAGAGTGAGCTTTTGAAAGCTTAGTAATACAGAACTACCAAATAATACTGAAGAACATGCAGATAACAGATAAACATATATTTCCTTATTGGTTCAGACATCTACAAACTTTTATGCTGAGCTGAAGTCCCACTGATATCTCAGATAGTAAAAGACAATAAGCTTTCAATTCAGAGGAAAATGTTTCGGATGAATAGGTTCAAGATATCAGAATAGGGTGTCTATTGTGTTCCCACAAAATCAGTGAAAACATATAGATCTTTTTAAAACAGTAGCAGTTTAAAATGTATTTTTCAAAAACCATAGTAATCCCACTGATACTCGTTGACCTTTAAAAAATGTGATAAATTATGTAGTTAGTCATTCAACAATCATTTTGATTCCATTTTAACCATCCAACTATGTTTTTTAAATCATGTATAACGTCACGTTGTTGATTTTGTTTTGATCACTGACTTTAAAAAGTAAACAAAACTATTAACGTGATAATTTTTTTATTTTCTTCAATGATAACGTAATATTATCTTACAAATTTACATCAGAAACTGAACTTAATTGAGAAACCATATTGAACCCGAATGTAAATCACTGAAAAATGGCTTACCATATACGAATTTGGAAAAACAGACTTCATATTCAGACTCAGGATGTCGAAAAACATAAAATAGGGATTTTGTTCGAAAAATTTAACTTTTTCGGTCAAAGTCAACGATCAATTGTCTAACCGGTCAAAATCAACGATCAGACTGGTCAACGATCAATGGGTTAACTCGGTCAAAGTCAACGAGTTAACTCAGTGACTGGACTGGACCAGACAGGTCGGGTCGGATCATGCGAGTCAGGCAAACGGGTCGGGTTGACTGGTTCGGGATGGTCCAGACCACTGAACCGGTCCAGAAGCTTTCAGGGAATGAGAAGAAGCCCACACACACTGTCGGTGCGTAGCGGTGCGTGCGACAACGAATGAGGCCTGGTTGGTCGGTCGATTACTCCGAAAGCATCCATACATCCAAAAATAACGAAATTAATTCCAAACCAAGCCAAAATCATGATTGAAATACCCATAAAAGTGACCGATGACTTACCCACGACGATCGAATGGAGCAGCGATGGTGAGGCAATGATCCTTATCGGATTTTGTTCATAAAGATATGAGGAGCACGGTAGTATAGGCGGTGTGTTGTGTTGGTCAATGGTTCAGCCGAAATTAGTGAAAAATCGAGGCACGTGGGGGTGGTTTCATCGAACTCTTAGACGACCCTCCACGGCGAATGGTGGGGGTTCATAACTGAATAGGGGTCGGGTTTTGATTGAAACAAGACGATGGTTATTTTTGGGGTATCGATGTCGGCTTAGGTGGTTGGACGGTGATAAAATCGGGGTAGTAAAGGGGTCGATGTGAGAATGAATTTGGGGTTTAATTTGAGGGAATATATTGCTCGATCGGGGGGGGGTTAAATTTTCACTGAATAATAAAAAATGGGTAAATTTAGGTTCAAGGCCCTAAACATTTCAGAGGT